ACCATAATTATATCAAAATTTGTATGAAACAAAATAATCTATGATAGTTATTTTGTTAGCACTAAGTACACTCATATCTAAGTAAAGCATACTTTTGGGAATTTCAGAGCTTTTGATTTTAATCAATATCATAGTTAAATTTTCAGAAAGGGAAAACAACACTCTATTCCGAAATCAACAAATCTGATAAGTTGATAATCCCTCACACAAAAAAAACATTAATCAATATACTTTTTTTTTGTACACACATGCATTAGAAAATTACATTTTTTTTATCATATAAAATATAATTACATTACTCTCAATAGTGGTTATAATTGAGTAAATTTCAGATATTCTGGCTAATTGGAAATAATGTGATTACGCTACCAAATGTATATCTAGATCTTTATTACATTAAATTAAGGGTGGAAACAACAAATTTGTACGTTTTAGAAGCATTACAAATTCACGGTCGTGATATTGTGTTGAGCGAAAAGTTCCATCAAATAAACTACATAGAGCAAATAAAAATGTTTCCATGGAAACAATGATTTTGCAATTTACCGGCTTTAAATCCAACTTTGGCCAATATTTTGGATTTGAAAATGGGCAAAACGTACAATTGAGGTGCATAATTCAAAATTTTATTTTTTTTCTTGCAATTTGAGACAGACAAGCATAATGAATCATTTGGTTTAAGGAAATTCTTGACCCAAAAGTGTGTTTATAGCCATAAAGATCCTGTTTTGTGGACGTTTTGCCCCAGTTATTTCATTCTATTAAAATATAGATTCTTCATCTAAGTATTAATACAATATGATTCACATATCCTAGAACATATTCTTTTTAGCACTTGTTGTTGTATTGGAAATTGTCACAAACACACACATATAGTCTATAATTTGAATATTTTTAATTTTTTTTTTTTATATTGTTTTGTCATTATATTGCTACGTAAGTAATCATTCAAATTCTTGATAGACAAACAAAGTAATATGTAAACTTGTACTAGCATATTCGCCAGAATTAATAAGTATTAAACTGGAATTTGTCAAAATTTAGTTTCTTAGCTACATGTACAACAATTGTGAGAAAATTTTGTTTTGATTTTGCTGATTTTTAAAGATTTAGTTTAGAAATGTTTCCAGTTCACGCATGTACTAGAGATTGACACCGTGTGGTGATTGACCCAGACTCTCATTGCTTGCTATTGAATTTGAATAGTAGACCTATCGACAAAAGCTTCGCTCAACTTGCACAATCACACTTTAATATTGGAAAATGTACAGCAATTATAGCAAAATCATGCATTTAATATCTGTCAACAGCTGAAAATGTCATGGTGTTTGGCAAGTTGTATCTTGGTGTCCATTCCACTTGTCTGTATCTTTATATTTGATAATGGAAAAATTATTTGGCAGCAAAACTAGAGTTCTTGTTGACGTTTTCATTAGACGTGCATGATGAATATTTAATGGAAGTGCATGTAAGTCGACTGGTGTACAATGAATTTCTTGATAATTTTCAAAATCTATGGATGGTTTTTGAAAACAGCTAACTCTGGGAAGACCACTGCCTGGGAAGTTGAAACAGGTATTGCCGAAACAGGAAACGAGTCAAAAAACGATAACAACTGGTTTCTAGGAGTGATGACAAATGCCAACACTATTTCCTCGTCTTGTTGATTTATACATTACCACATTTAATAGCGAAGCTAAATGTCCATTATGTCAATTACGTTGCTATAATGCATGAACTGCTTTGTTTGGAGCGCTACAATAATTTTTATTATAGCCATCAGCAGCTTACATAGGAAATTTAATTCCAAAGAAGCAACGTATCGTGAAGTTTTTATTTCTAGTAGCATAATAACCTGCCCAGTTATAACACTAATGCAGACAGACAGACAGACACCTGCCACATAGTGATGAATTTATGAGTATAACATAATCTGTTAATTGCTGTAGGTAACATTTATATTAATCCTAACATTATGTGATTTTGTTTAAATTACATTATTTTTTTTTAATCTTACTGTACAACAAGCCTTGAAAATCTTTCAAAATGAGACATGCGACTGTAAACTAGAAAATACTGTGTATTCAAAAATAATGATAATTAATTAAGCTGTGATTAAAGTATGTGAAACACATGATTGCAATGGTATTAGCCAAACCCGCAATGATTACAATGGTTAAAAGTTAGAAGCACGCCAAGCATCCCTATACATATGATTACAGCCCGATGAGAATACCACCCAGACTTGCAGTACAGAAGTCGGTCAAGTCACTGGCAAGATACAGTTATTAGGGTTGCCTGTGACACACAGAGTACATGTGAGACTTTTAGGAGCTGGAGACTGAACTAGACATGCCTCTATCATCTTCAACACCCTGGATGTAGCATGCAAGAAAAAAAATGAAAAGAAAAGGGAAACATTACCTTTTTCGGATTAATATATGTTTAAGACCGATAGCACTGACAGCATGCAGGCAAGCATATAAGAGGGATATGGTGAAAACTGTTAAAGCTGAGAATATGTGTATTAAAAGCTGCAGGCAGGGTGTTGAAACTGACCAATCACAATCAGCGTTACAAATGCAGTTGCAGTTTGTCTAGTGAGCATAACCAATCACAATCAGCGTTACAAATGCAGTTGCAGTTTGCCGAGTGAGCTAACCAATCACAATCAGCGTTACAAATGCAGTATGCCTAGTGAGCTTACTAATCACAATCAGCGTTACAAATGCAGTTGCAGTTTGCCTAGGAAGCTAACCAATCACATTCAGCGTTACAAATGCATTTACAGTTTGCCTAGTGAGCTAACCAATCACAGTCAGTGGTACAAATGCAGTGACATGGTGGATCACTCTAAGATGTTATATGGTACATGCATGATCAAATGAAAATGGAATTTAAGATCAAATTCTTTTGTTTAAAAGTAAAATTGAATGCTGAGCAGTAACATTATTAATTATGTGAAATTTTGGCTATATTTGTCAATTATACATTTATTTTCTCCGCAATAAAATGTTAAATTTCTTTTTAGAAAATTTGCATAAAATGTGTACAGAATACATGGAAATTAACAAGATAAGATTTGATAACAAATTTGTATAAATATCATGAAAATGCAAATTAGCTAATTAATATGCAAATACCCAGGTATTCATACAAAAAGCCTGAATATAAACTGGTATTCAATACTGATAGTGATAACAAATGCTGACAAGGTTTATTGAAGCAATGCAACATTACACGAATAATAAATTTCTCCACATTTTAATCAGCTGAACAGTTGATTAGACAGAAGCACATCCTGGCCACTGGATGGCATTAATTGAACGTTGGAAGTCAAAAACAAGCCATTTAGTAGAGATGACAGCTTTTACTCACAATGAAAAGATGCGTGCTTAATATATAAAATTTTCAGAAACTGTTAACTATGGTTTCCTGCTTGGCTATCTAAAATATAGGTTTTGCCTCTTATCATCATCGTGTGAGACCTGCATCTCATTCATACATGGTAATGTGGTAAAACCACACATTGTAGAACGGAGAAATTTCATTTTTTGATTGAAAAGATGTTTTATTGATCCAAATAAAGAATTATTTAATAAACGTTAAAAAGCTTCTTTTTTTTTCGACCTTAATAATTTCGGAGAAAAAAAAAGTTCAATCTAAATAAATAAATGAATAATGCATGTACTTTCCAGGCATTAATATTTGAGAGTTCCTAATGGAGTCAACAGACTTGGACAAAAAATGGTTGACAGAGTCCTGTTGAGAAAAAGAGGTCACATGACTTGTTTTTGCTCCTCAAATAATGTTTTTTGGAACACTGAAGGCGATGTTGGGAAAGAACGAAACACTATCTGAGTGGGATAAACAAGTTTTGCGACTCTCTCTTGCTCGCTCGCTCGCTCACTCTCAACGAGGTCTAAAGAACAATTTGTGTCTGAGGTACGGTATTTTTAATTGGCTTGGGTCATTCTATACATCTTCACTGCCATAAAAACAACGCAAAATATCCACCCAGAATCCTTTACACCACGCGAGTGACATCAAGGAAATCAAAGACACCAATCACAGAATTTGACAGTAAAATAAAACAAAACAACATCAACAATTTCACAAATCTGTCAAGCTTGCAGAATGATAAAAATTGATTTCATTTCTCATATCACTTTCTTTATATTTCACGCATATTGACACTATAAAAAGCTTTAAAACAAATATACTTCAAAGTGGAATTGTTTTTATTTAATTTTTTGTGTCACAAAGTTTGGGCGTTTTCATGCGTATTAAATTAGTGAGTTCATCCACGGTAAAACTTTTAGTTTCGAAAGTCATCCACAATACACAAAACACTGCATTGTATTGTGATGGAAAAGTCGATAAATCTTGCAAAGGTGAAAAAAGTAACGTGCCTCATTGGAGGGGGCGAGGGTGTTACAGACACTGATTTACACAGAAAAGTCTTCTGGAAGACCCTCAAATTATGTATTCAAATTTCTGGTTCTAACTATTCATCCAATTACAGTGTGCCATATTTGCTCTATTACAAGAATGTCAGAAGTATTTATGGTTAAAATAACTCACATTTTTATGAACCAGCATATGTTAAAATGCACACATTTAGTGTATGTGAGCTCCTATTGGAGATGCCTGTCTAATTAGAGCAAATACGGTATGCGTTGCCTTCATAATGAACCTATTTTACAGTATGTGGTATTAGAAAGATTTTAACTTTTCTGTAACATTTAATCTTAAATTGCATCTCTCACTATACACATGTATATTGACAGTTATATTTGAAAACCTACTGCGTTTGTTTGTTTGCAGCTTGGAAAACTACCGATCCCAAACAGGCGTGCAAACTTGCCCTGAAAGTGTGCACGCATGTAGCGTTTGTGATCACAAGCCTACTTTGCATATATGATAATGAAAGGGATTACAGTGAATGAGAGGAACTATATAGTGAGAACAACACACTGAATCAGAGAATCAGAACCTACCTCTAGGTCAAGTGTTTGAGTTGTACTCCCATTCATACTATTTCGTAGACGGTAATTCTTAGAAAGTCTATTGCATAACGAAACAATACGCAGTGATTGCTGGTGAAGAAGAAATAGAGATACTATTTAAAAAAACAAAAAACAATTCAAGTGAACTTCCACACACAAAAAATAAGTTTGTAGATAATTTTCTCCATGTATTTTGCATAAATAAATTGGCAAACTATTAATTGATTCCAACACTATTATAAAGAAGAACAAAATTATCATGTAACGCTTAGACTTAAATATTTTTCAGATAATTAGTTTTAAAGCAAAATCGAGTAATCTAGTATAACATAGAACTATAGAGGGCTCTATTTCAATAACTTTGGATATACATTCCATCACACTCACACGATCACACGCCTTAGTGCATTTCAATTATATTCAGCTGACGTTTCGACTTAGATGGTGTAAACACCTTTAACAAATTTGAGGCAATGATGACGTCTTTTTAGTATTCTACCCCAGGAAGGATTTGAACTTGGGTCTACCAATCATGAGTACGAGGCTACAAGAACTATTCTACAGGTGGCCAGTTTCATGTGTGTGACCATCCTTAAAAACAAATTCTAGATTTTTGAAATTTATTTTTACCTTCCATTTCTTCCTTGCATTAAATGAGCGTAAATTCATTATGTTGACCATTGATATCCTGCGACTGGCTTGTTCTCGTTCTGTACAGGGCTGGACAGAAGAAAAAACAAAGACAATTATTATTATCATCATCATCATCATCATCAACACATTATTTTTTGATTTCCCAGAATAACATTATTTTCTAAATCAGCTCATTTGTCAAAAAGTCTAGGATTAAAATTAAAATCTCAAAATTCAAATGCATGACGGGATTTCAATGCTCGTCAGACGTGAAGAGTGAATGAGTGAATGAGTGGCAATGTCAACAAATTTGCAACAGATAACGTTTGAATTGAATTTATATCGTATATTATCATACAACTTTTAACATACAGAAAAAAGACTTTAATGTAGGACTATATTTTTATGGAAGCATACAGAAGTGATAGGGTTAACCCTATCACCTAGAAAAATGTAAATAAATACCTTTATCCAAGGATGATTCAAACATTCAGTAACAGTTGCTCGTTTTCTGTAAATGAAAATAAGGATTCCAATTAGTAATAATCAACTGTCATTGTATGTGTGTACAATGGACAGCTCAGGATTTCTTTATTTTAATACGCAACATGGACAATGGTACAGTGGTTAGCAGGCTCGCCTTGCATCAGGGAGATACTGGGTTCAATTCTCAGAGCTGACTAATCACTCTGCAGTGCAATTACTAGTGAAGTGTGCCCTGCCTTCCAAACATAGTATTAGGTTTTCGCACTTGCAATTAGCACTTAAGATAAAATGTCAGGAAAGACAACAGTGACTTCAATGCCCAGAAATGTCGCCTGACACACAAAAAAATTTAAAAAAAAAATGTAATGAGAAGCCTGTAACATAATTTTGTGGCAGACATCTCACATTACACATCTCACAGTGAGCAGAAAATTACTCACAAACAGCAGTGGATGGGTAGGTAAAAATCTAAAACAGATGTTCATAAGCAGTGTCACCAATGAGGGCGCTTTACCTTAAAATCAGCGCCTTTAAAGCTTACTAAACTTGTATATTGCAAACATTAAACATGCATTAAAGTCATTTACTTAATTGCCCAAACTGAAATGCTACATTTGCAGCTTGACCATGAACTAATTAAAGGTTTATTTTTCACTTACCTTGCATCTTTAACAAATAATTTCTCAATAAAATCTTTGGCAAATTCACTTGTTTTTGAAAAATATTGGTCATCGAACTCGTAATCTACTGCAACTATGTTTTCATAAGTTTCTTGCTGATTGTCACCAAGAAATGGGGAAGCACCACTTAGTCTGAAAAAAAAAAAACTTTGTTGTCACCTTTCTCAAAATAAATTCAATTCTGTATTTTTTTCTAAAACTGTATTCAAAATCTGTGGCCAAAAAGAAATTATGTCGATCAGGTAAAAAATATAAGAAATTATAGAAAAATATTTAAAAATGTGCAAAATATTACACCAAATTTTAGTGGAAAAAATAATATATGAAATATATAGTTATACACTTACAGAATGTATGTAATAACGCCAACAGCCCTGAAAAGTTCAAGAAGGAAAAATTTATTAAATGTGGATTAAAATCAGAATGTGGTCAAAAGCATGAACAAGAATAAGGCATGTTTTAAATCATCACAACAAATCCGTTTTACCCTGAATATAAGAACATTGAGTTTTTTTTTTTTCATTTTTGCAAGTAAATTTATGCAAACTTGTTTCTTGAGATTCTTACATAAATTGTTTCGTGCATAGTGTAATCTGCAGCAAATATTACCACACTTTCACAATTGTGATCCTAGTCCTAGCAAAACAGTATACACTGAGAAACAGACCGAATCTATCATTAAAACCAAGCTAGTCCTTTTTGACCAATCAGAAGGACCCATATTTGCAGGAATAAGTGTCCTGTTTTTGAATCTGACTCATTTTTATCAAGTCGCATAAATTGTCTGAGGACTTTTATATCATAAATGACTTTTATACAATAAATGACTTTTATACGCCGTTATTCTCATAATCTGTTTTTGGACTTTCATACAAATCATGTGACATTGAAAGATGCAATCCTGACCGAGAATTATTGTGCTAAGAAGAAATCACAAAAGTTGGGTTCAGACCTCATAACAGTTGATTTGACAGACACTGCCCATTGAGCAATCTGGATCTTGATGTCTATCATTGGCTTTTGAACTATTGGGCTTTCCTATGATTTTTTTGTGTTACATAATGAATATTCATATGCATAGATTCTGTATATACAGCCCACCTGCCTTCATTTCAATTGAAGCGGTAGGTTTTAAGACGGATATATCCTTCTTACTACTGTAAAATCTGTATTAGAAGCCGCGGCTTCTATTAAAATGGTACAATGCAACAGAGGGGATGCGGCTTCTATTAGAGCATCTACACATATGAGAAATGATGAATTTTTAGTTCTCAATTATTCAAATAGTATGGATGCGACTTCTATTAGGGATGCGGCTTCTAATACAGATTTTACGGTAGAAGTCTTCTGAGATTTAAAGTTCTCTTCACAATAAAATGACTTGACTGCGATCACTTAGACTATAAATCCCAGAAGTGCCTCCAGAGTCAGACTTTAGTATACATTAAAACTTTGTGTAAAAATGTATGTTTTATTTTTATTTTTGCCCAGTGTACCTGCCAGTAAGTACCTCAACATTACATGGAAAATAAAATAACAACCTACCACATGTCAGTGTATAGCCCAAGTGCTTCATAATTCACAACTTCAGGGGCTGCAAAAAAACAAAAAAAAACTTTGAAATTGAAAAAATTGGGCAATGTTCTAAAAAGTCAGAGCCAATATATACATACATGTAAGTATATAAATATTTATATATTAAAATGTAGAACAAAATTTACATATTATGTTATAAACAATGAATTATTATAAAGAGGAGGAAACAAAAAACTCACCCACAAACTCTGGCGTTCCTATCATATCGCGGATTTCAGTGCCTTCAACTATGCGACGAGATAAACCGAAATCAATCAACTTGATGTTTTGCGAGTTTCTATTTAACAGCATCACATTTTCAGGCTTTAAAAAAAAAAAAAAAAAAACTTTAGAAACATAAAAACACTAACAATATTTGTACATGTATATTGACTGGAGGCGCCAGAGTTGTAAAAACAATTGAATTTTTAAAACTGGCCATTGGTGGCGCTCTTGATATTCTAACATACACATGTTGCACTGTATACATTGTATACTTTATGCATTCAATTTCAATAAACAGATTTAATTTATTCTTGAGTAGCCATGAATCTCACCGACTGAGTGAAGCAGCCACTTAAAGTGAAGTGCAGTACTTAAAATTAATGCTTCGTCGCCAATGGATTTCATAACAGTGTATAAACAGCATGTATATGTATCAGTACACGTCAAATATTAATATTATCCAAGACTCAACGTGGTAATGTTTATTCATTCAAAAACTCATTTATTAATATTAGATATCAAAACATAAATTAGGAACTACAGATACATGTATCTATATTTAAAGAATAGTCACCAAGTAACCACAGTATCCATGGTTACTTACAGTTGTCTAACAAATGCACAATGCCATAACGAGGTTAATTTTATACATCTCCATCTGTCTGGAAGATTAAAACCTTCCTATTTTAATTGATTTCTGCTCTAGGTCCAGCTGTGTGCATATTAATTATTACAGGGACAAAACAATAGCAGAAAAAAACCCTTTGTTTATTGTTTTGATGTAAATTACAATACATGTGGAAGGCAATTAATATATAAGATACCCCCAAGAGGTGATGCCTCCCTTTTTTGTTTTTTTTTGATATGTGTTGAAAATTTGTTTTGGTGACTCTGGTATTTTATATGTTTAATGATGAGATATTAACAGCATTTAAGTACAAGGACTTTGAATAACAATCACATATAGGGGTGCAATTCACAGAAACTCAAAGCACCGCATTAACCCTTATAGAAGCAAATGCACACATTATTAGGCCCAGTAAATTTTTAAAAGTAATAAATTAACTAATAAACATAATTCACTATTGTAAAATTCAGTCTTTGTGAATTTATCATCGTTTAACTTGCAAGGCCAATTGCAAATCATCCACAAACAGGAAACACAAAATTTGATTTTAACAATTGGCAATTGTTCTCTTATCAACGGGGATCATGTAATAAAGATAATATACATGTGACCTTTGAACCCATCAGTTTATGATTGAGTGTATGAACTTTACCCCAGAACAGTCGTTGGCTAAGCGGGAGTATATATTCAACATATTGCATGCCAATGATGCCCATAATATATGTATAACATTTATGTGGATGTCAAATGTTAACCATATTTTGTAGCCCACATAACAGCGTTGTTAATTTAAAACTGACGAATATTTTCTAGCATTCTGTGACAAACGTGCAACGATGCAGTGTACTTTGAACATCTTATGACTCCATAGTAATCTTGAAATGTTTTAGTAGCAACAACATCACTGATTATTTAAGCAAAGAATTACTGTGACTTGCATGGAATTAGGTCCCAAGGAGTCCCCTCAAATAAATCATAGACGTAAAATGACCGCCGAAAACTCATTGTGAGTTACATAATGTACCATGCGAGTTGTTTTTGCCCTCAAGAAATATTCCATTCGCTCCCCTCCTCACGTGGATCAGTGACACAGTGGAAACAATGGTGGAGAGAATGATACACTATTTGAGAAGCAAAACAATATGCTTTTATCAACTTTTGATTTATACGTGCTTCTATTGTGGAAGTGCTTTCAAAATCAAATAAAAATCCAAGAAAGCTTAGAAAGAACTCCCATGTGCTGAGAGTATTGGAGACACATTAAATATAATTTGAAATTACTTAGCTGAAAACTAATTATGCAAATCAGAAAATTAACATGAACAGATTTGATTGTAAAACTAATGAGGTCTGCGCAATGTAACAAAAACTCTATGTACCAAGTTTAATTTGAAATGTGATTAGAACCAAAAAATTATGAATTATTATGCTAATTAGGGAAATAATATGAACAGAGTTTTACCCCAAACTAATTAGGTTTGTACATTGTCCTAGAGCATCTTTGTACTAAGTTTCATTAAAATGGAAATTAGTACTTTAGATATCAGTGTAAAAGCTTAAAATTGGTTAATTATGCAAATTGGGTAATTAATATGTACAGATTTTAACCCACAATTATCCAGGTCTGTCTATTGTCCTACAGCATCCATGTATAAACATTCATTGATATGTGATGATTAATACCTGAGATATCAGTGTGAAAGTTGGAAATTGGTTAATTATGCAAATTAGGTAATTAATATGCACAATTATTTACCCTGAAATTAATCAGGTGTCTGCATAGTCCTCGAGTATGTAAGTACCAAGT